TATATATATATATATATATATATATATAAACGTACTTATTTTTTGTTTTTGCATAAAGAACTTTTATAAGATGTATTTATTACCTATTCAGATTTTTTTACATTATAACATTATTTTTGACAATTAAACACGTTAGATAGATAGATAGATAGATAGATAGATAGATAGATATTTCATATATTGATTTATTGATTTATTTATTTTTTGTTGTTGAATATATGACCTGGACATTTCTTTTCGTTTTTAGACAATCACCCTGTTCACCATTTTACAGACTTGGACATGTTTCAGAACACAATTTTAAGTGCTGTTGAACATGTTCAATATCTTGTTTTTGTTGTCATGGTTACTTACCCTCTCACCTGGCTCTCCAGCACCACCTGGGTGTCCCGTTGAACCTGGAGGACCGGGGAGACCCTAAAAACAACACAACGGTACTGTGAGGAACACATATGAAGCCATCACAAACACACAAACACACATGGGTGTTGGTCCGGTGAGGTAAGACTCTAGATCACTGCTGGACTCGTTCCATTGCTCTATTTCTCAAACTCATGTTGTTCTAGTCCCTAAAGAGCCATCAGATCCATCAATGCTCCAGCTGAGAGAAGAGTTACTTTATAAATAAGTAGGTCAAGAATGAAACTTTAGCAACAAAACAGACATACAGCTGTTTAGCATTGTCAGCAATAGTCACAGGACCTAGAAAACAGATTTCCTAGCAACTCAGCTCAGTTTTCCAACAAATAGTGGTGGTGTGCATTACTATTTTTTATGGTGCAATGTACAGCACAGTCTTTGGGAAGTACAACTCATTTTAGTGAACCAGTTGGTTTGAATCAGTTGACTCAGAGGATTCAATCAAAGTGGGGTGCATTTCCCAAAAGCAACTATGAACGCAAGTTCTATCATTACCAATAGAGTTCAATGGACCTTACGATCATAGTTAGCAAACAATCTTTTTGGGAAATGCACCCCTGGTTGGATTGGAAGGTTCATTTTAGTGAATCAGTTCACTCAGTGAATTCAGTTCAGCTAGTTGGTTTGGAAGGTTTGTTTTAGCGAATCAGTTAACTCAGAGGATTCAATTCACCTGACTGGTTTGATAGGTTACCTTTAGCAAATCTATTGACTGAAAGGATTTAATTCAACTTACTGGTTTGGAAGGTTCGTTTTAGCTAATCAGTTGACTCAGAGGATACAGTTCAACGGACTGGTTTGGAAGGTTCATTTTAGCGAATCACTTGATTCAGAAGATTCAATTCAACTGTTTGGTTTGGAAGGTTTGTTTTAACAATCAGTTCATTCAATCAATTTAATTCAGCTGGTTGGTTTAGAAGGTTTGTTTTAGCGAATCAGTTGACTGAGAGGATTCAATTCAACTGGGGAGCGTTTCCCAAAAGCAACTATGTTTGTAATTTCAGTCATTACCAATAGAGTTCAATGGACCAAAGTTAGGCCAAAGTTAGACCGTGATTTAGAAGGTTCGTTTTAGTGAATCAATTGACTCAAGAGTATTCAATTCAACTGGTTGGTTTAGAAGATTTGTTTTAGTGAATCAGTTGACTCAACGGATTCAATTCAACTGGTTGGTTTAGAAGATTTGTTTTAGTGAATCAGTTGACTCAACGGATTCAATTCAACTGGTTGGTTTAGAAGATTTGTTTTAGTGAATCAGTTGACTCAACGGATTCAATTCAACTGGTTGGTTTAGAAGATTTGTTTTAGTGAATCAGTTGACACAGAGGATTCAATTCAACTGGTTGGTTTTGTAAGGAAAGTAGGCTTACTGTGGGACCCTCTGGACCAGGTGGGCCTTCGACCAGCATTCCCTACAAGAACAGAAAAAACACAAACGCATTAGAATAACAGCATAAGCACAACCTGCAACATCAACATAAGATCTGAAGTGTGAGAGCACCACAGCTTTGATCAAAATAATTTACATTTCTGTGGACTGTCATCATACCAAACAGCAGCATCAGGAAGTCTGTTAAAGCACTGGTGCCTGTTTCTCGTGGCTCTGACTGTTTATGAAGCATGTGAGATGATCTTCAGACTGCGGCACAGCTGACTGAACATTCCAGAATTAATCAGATAGTTCCAGTTCCACTGCTAAAATCTGAATGATTGGAATGCCATGCCATCTACTACTGTTATTTTCATGAGGAAAACAGCTTAAAATGTAGCATAATGTGATGAGGGAAAAAATATACAACATTTTTGAAGTTTATTTTGAATTAGCATGCGTTTTTATATTTTTAGCATTTCTTTTCATTTTAGTTTAGGTTTTAGTAATTTCGTTATGTGGTTTTATCATTTTTATTTTTTTTTTTCAAGAAAATATTTCTATATAACTTTAATTGTTTTCTTTTCTGTTTTAGTTTTAGTAATTTTAGTGCTTCAACTTCAACTTAATTTATTTCTAATTCTCTTTGAAGTTTTTAAAGGTGACATTTTTATCTAATATTTATATTTTATTTTATTTTATTTTATTTTAGCTTTATTTCAATAACCGAAATGACTTGTAATAGTTTTACTTTTAGTTTTTTTAGTTTAGTACGGTTTTATTAGTTGTATTTAGGTGTTAAATAATTAATAATCAATCATTAATATTGCTAATAAATAATCAATAATTAATATTGTTTTGTGCCAGAATTATTTTTTTTAATTAGACTACATGCAGTAATATGATATATAGTCATAAATAACTAACTAAATAAATAAATAATGTTTTTTAAGTTCATTTTGAAGTAGCTTTTTTATATTTATATATAGCTTTTTATAATTCAATTATTTTAATTTCTGTTTTAGTCAATTTAGTACTTAAAGTTTATTTATTTCAGTTCGCTGTCAAGGCAACATTAAGTTGTTTTGTTTTTTTTTATTGAAAGCTTTTTCATCTAATATTTATATTTTACTGTATATTCTTCATAAGAATAAACCGAAAGTCCTAGAGGATTTAAAATCATCACTGTCTACTAAATCATACCTCAAAAATATTGGACTCTGGCATAAAGAGGAAAAAGGAGGACTTTCAGCCATTAACAAAAACTTGTGCGTGACGAAACTGTTGTAAAACAGGCAATAAATGGTTGCCTGAAAACCATAAACAGCATACAGTTATACTAATGAACTATATTAATTTGTGAAAGAACTGTACATTGTTAGTCACTTTGGATAAAAGTGGCTGCTAAACGCATAAATGTGTTTATTACATACTGTGTTTATTAAACATTGGTGCGTAATATTGTCATAGATGAGGTTAAAAAGTAAAAGTTAGAGGGTGTTTTAAACACTGCATATTGTTTAAACATGCACAAGATTTCCATCATTGCACATATGTTAGGGAAAATCATATTAAAACAGATCAACTGTAACCAAATATACTGCGATCTGTATCAGGACATACAAGCTGGAAGTCATCAATCATGATCAATTACTTATCAAAATGTGCTTGCATGAGTTGCGTCATAACCACAACAGTGCAATTAACTCAAAAAGCCTGTGAAGATTGAATTACAGTCACTGAGAGGTCCAGAGCCCAAAGCACAGGATCATTACATATGCAGAGCTCAGCCTCTCTTAAGATCCAGAGAAACGGCATTTGTTTGTCGTAACATCGTGACGCTTCTGGTGCTTTTTAAAGATGCTGTGGGTCTTAGCTCTGTCCCAAAGGCATCGTCCGAGTGTGCTGTCGTGGCAGTGGGCATGTTCGCTTTGTTTTGGTGCGTTCCTTACATGCCAAAAAACACAGAGTGGACACTGTGTGTGTGTGTGTGTGTGTGTGTGAGCAGAAACAAGAGAGAATGTGGGCGCTTGCTGAAAGAAGTGTGTGATTTGAGCATTTTTCTTTCTGCAAACCACATGGTCATCCTTCATTAAAACCAGCTGTCCTGATCTGCATGTTTGTGCTTTTCCTTGACTCTGATCTTCTCATTGACCTGTTCTTGTATAACAGTAACAGTACCCTGAAAAAACTGAAACAACCGTGTCATTTATTTAAAGGGGTCATATGATGCTTTTTTAAAGATCATTATTTTGTGTATTTGGTGTAACAGAATATGTTGACAAGCTTTAATGTTCAAAAAACACATTATTTTTCAAATACTGTACATTATTGTAGGTCCTCTATGCCCCCCGCCTCTCTCAAACACGTCGTTTTCAACAAAGCCCCCTCCTTTCAAATAAAGTGCTTTTGCTTTCACCTAGAAACACACAGCGTCTCCCTGACATGCTGCTTCAACACTAACTGCGGTTACTGAAACCACGCCTTCTTTCTTTGCGTGAACATTTGGGCGCATTATGCAAATATTCCCACATAGTGACCTAGATATGTGGGGGCGTGTTAGAACGAGCCGTTTTAGGGGGGCGTGGCAGAGTCTTAACTTTGATAAAGAATATCTCTTTGGATTTGAGACTTTAGTCTTTGCAACTTCAGGGATCTTATCTATGCACAATCAGCTTGTAACACTCCAAAGAGAAAGGAAAACTTGAAATCGCATCATATGACCCCTTTAAAGTGCATTTTTATATTGGTAGAATCGAAAAGTCATGGTTTCTAGTTTAAACCTGTTTTGTTGAGTTTGACTAAAAGCACACCTTCATCAAACTAAAATATAAGATATGAGGGGAGATATCCCGAAAAAAAGCTTTTTCTTGCTATTAATTAATGAAATTAATTATTTATTTGGATTTAATGGTAATTATTTATTTTTATTTTTATGAGATGAAATGGTAGGTATTTTTGTAATGTAGCTCAATTTATGGTTTTGTTTATCCTGTAAAATTTGAATTCGCAATATTGTTTATTTGAGTGTAGAATTATTTTATTTTATTTTATTTTATTTTATTTTATTTCTCGTTAATCACCAGTGTTGAAATGAGTGGTTGGGTTTTATAAAATCTTCTGGTGTTATTTTTTTATTTATTTTTTATATAAGAAAAAATATGATGCATTTTTAAATAGACATCACAATAAACATTAAGGTCTTTGAAGTTGTCTTTATTTATAATAAGTAAACTAAATTAAACACTGAGTAACAAAATGTTTTGTCTCATCTACTTTCATATTAAAAGTAATTTAGCTATTTTTATTGCGAAATTGTTAAAATAATTTTAATATATTACTGTAGATTGACCAAGTAACATTTTGGCTTACGTCTAAAGAAAATATGTTAAGTGGTCTTTATAATATATATATATATTATATAAAATATGCATAATATATATTTTTTGTTGGTCCAAAGTATAATTTATGTAATATGATATGATATGGCCTGATCTGACTGTGAAGGTAAGATCTTGTTTCTTTCTCCATCCTGATGTTCATTGATGATAAACCCTGATGTCATTCTCTCCCGCTGAGATTGCAGTGACATCCGTTTGAAGTCTCACAGCTGTTAGACATCAAGAGCCATGTGAGCAGTAGAGACTGTATGCAAGGACAGACGATGATTCCCATCGTGCAAATATAACTGTGTGGTAAACACATCTGCAAATCTGAGACACGGCAGAGTCTGAAACAGGAGTGACTCGCTCCTTTTGAAGTGCAAATGCAAATCAGGAGTGAATCCAGATTAATCCGGAACAGACAACTGATCCAGGTGTCTTTTAAAAAGTGTTTTTAAGCTGCCCGAACATGTGCATGAATGCAAAATTGGACGGATGTGAAAGTGAGTGGAAGATGCAATAAATGCAAGACCACACTTGGAAACCTTCCTTGGGTTTGTGTCAATAAAGGGTTGTCAATATGCCAAACCACTTCAGAAAAAAATCTAAAATGCAAGTAAATGCAGGCTTGGTGAGACCTCTTTCAAAAATATGTTAAATACCGACCCCAAACTTTTACATATGTATCATATAGTAAGTGACACTTACGGGTTCAATGATGGCAGGCTCTCCTTTCTGGCCTTTCTCTCCCCTCAGTCCATCCACCTTTGGAAACACAAACTCAATTGAATTCAATCCAGATCCAGTGTATATCAGTGTAAACGCAATATGGAATAGAACAGTTGCAGGTAATAAATAAAACAAACAATTCTAACCAAAAATAAACTATAGGTCACCCTCATGTCGTTCAAAGCCTGTCTGAAACCCAAAGTGGGGAATTATATTGCAAAGAGTGGGAAGTACTGTACATTCTCCTTTTGTGTTAAACGGGAAGAAAAAGTAAGCCATACAGGTTTGAAACAACTTGAAAAATAGAAAATGATAATTCCTATGAGTTTGCACAGAGGTGGGCGGAGCTAGAGATCACCTGTCCGTAGATCTCGTCGGTCTCTGCGGGCAGCGCTTTGTCGCCATCGGTGTACAGGTCATCATAATCATACATCTTCTCCAGTTCTGCGTCAGTGTAATCCGTGATGGACTCCTCCTTGAACTTGTCGATATCGATGGAATCTGCCTCTCCACCAATTCCTCCCTGTCCACCGGTGGCAACAGACCCCGCCCCCACGCTGGCCCCAGCGCTGCCGGATCCGCCCCCAACTGAGCCACTTGAAGAAACAGACCCGCCTCCAACGGAAACAGAACCGCCCCCGACAGATACAGACCCGCCTCCAACAGAAACAGATCCACCCCCTACGGACACTGAAGTGCTGCTGCTGCTACCGCCTCCTTCCACGGTATAATCTCCCTCTCCGTATCCTTCTCCATATCCCTCTCCATAGGTCAGATCAAAACCCTCGCCGTACTGGGTATCATCATAACCACCATCAACCTACACATCAGACAAACACAAGTCTTCAGACATCAAAACCATTCATGACTCAATGTTTTATTTATATAGCTCTTTTAACAATACAGATTGTGTCAAAGCAGCTTTACAGTATTAAATAGGAAAATAGCGTGTAATAATGCAAAAGTTTGTGCACTGCGTATACATCTATCTTTTGATTCTCATATGTGTGAATATCACAAAAACAAACAAAAGTAAAACTACTTTTTTATTTTTATGACAAAAAAGCACATATAGTTTATTTTTAGGATTTTGCCCAGTATTTTCAGTGGTGATTCTCTTTAGATTCGCAATCCTGTAGTTCAATATTTTTATAGTCCTAAAACAGGCTTTATTGTCTTTAAACAAAAATTCTGATTATTTTTATTAAATTTACAGTATATTTGTTTTTATTAATTGAAATTAAATATAACTTGGACATGTTCCTGACAGGCTCTGATGAAAGAGAATGTTGCAGTAATTGGAATAATAAGCAAAACTTAAAAAAACATATTAAAGACATATTAATGACTTAATTCCTGAGTTCAGTAAAATCCACTTTGGTAAAAAGGATATTACTGCACTATTATACTCAACAATGCAGTAATTTCAGTAATAAGAACAACTTGCAAAACATATGAAAGATATTTAAAACATAGTTAAAATATTTTTTAAATATATAATTTTCAAATATAATATTTAATAAAATAAAATAAAATGTATTATTAAATGTTACCAATAAAATCTATTATATCTGAATTAGACTCGATCCCTGAGTTCAGTAAAAACCACTTCGGTAACAATAAAACGGTAACTAAACTTCAGTAACTTCGGTAACTAAACAATGCAGTAATTGCAATAATAAGAAAAATTGCAAAGCACATGAAAGATATTTCAAACATCTAAAATATTTTACAAATATATAATTAAAAAAAAAAAGTATTTAAAAAGTTATTATTAAATGTTACCAATAAAGTCTACTATATCTGAATTTGACTGGATCCCTGAGATCTGTAAAATCCACTTCAGTAAAATAGGATCTTAATACATTATACTAAACACTAAATATTTCTATATGACTGAATTAATTCCCACTTAAAAGTGAAACTGTTTGGGATTACTAGTTCCAACTAAACTCACCGAGGTAGAGTTGGATCTGGAGCTGGAGCTGGAGCCGGTACTGACTCCAGAGCTGGAGCTGGAGCCGGAGCTAGCAATGATTCTGGTGCTAGAGCCGGTGCCGGAGCCAGAGCTGGAAACCGAGCCAGACGTTCCATTGTGAATGACTGTGACAGTTGAGTGCACTCTTCCACTTCCTCCTCCTCCTGATGATGACGACGATGATGATGATGATGATGTGATGATCCGCCTGTCCAGGTCTCCTCCCAGTCCCAAATCCACCTCACCGCCCAGTCCGATATCCACTTCTCCGCCGGTACCTGTGCCTGTGCTAGTGATGCTGATGGTCCGGGAGCCGTCAGGCCGCGAGGTCGACTCGTCATAGTATGTTTCATATCCGGTCTCATATCCATCGTAGCCGTCGTACGGTTCCTCGCCAGTAGTCGTGGTAGAGCTGGAGGATGAAGAAGAGGAGGACGAGGAGCTACTCGAGGAACTGCTGGAGCCTCCTGTTCCACTAGTGATAACCGACGTAACCACGCGACCGCTATCCGGAACAGACACCTGGTAATCACAGGAAAGAGACACTTCTTTAGAGTAAATAGTTGAAAATTAATGATTTGATGAATGCACTGATTTCTTGATTCACTTTCAATTCATCTGATCCCAGTTAGGAATATTTAAGTTACAGAATAATGCTGGGAACTGAACTCTTGATGGTCATTTTGAGCAATAGTCCCGCTCCACATTTTTAATTCATTTAATATATTTTTGCAAATATGCCATATTATAGAAGAAATATAGGTTACGAACATAGTTTAATGTTGAATTTAGAAATCAATATGAAATTTTAATTACTTACTTCACCTAGTCCTAACTGTTATGAATTATTTTGTTATAATTAAATTCCATTTTCGGTAATTAAAAAAGCTGACATAAAGTAATATTAAAATATTAGATAAATATTAGATAAAACTGAAAAAAATGAAAATTACAAATGTTGCCTAGGCAACTAACTGAAATAAAATAAGCTGAAGCTGAAGTAGTAAAATTAGTAAAACTCAAACTATAATAACAATTATTTTAAAAACTACAACAAAATAAATTATATTATATCAGATATATAAAAAATAAAAAAAACTAATACAATTTACAAAAGCACATGATAAAATTACTAAAACTAAAATTTAAATGTAAACTGACAATATAAAAATAAAAGCTAATTCAAAAAAATGAATAAATACTACAATAATACATAAATAGTACTAAAATAAGACTGACCGTTAGGTCTTCAGTTTCGGTTCCAGTCGTTTCATCGGTTGCCGTTTCTTCTGTCTTTTCGGCGTCCATGTCCTCATAGTAGGGATATTCGTAATAGTAGTTGTCATCCTCTGTGTTCTAAAGAGAAATGTAGAAACTAAGTGTTATTATATGTTAAAATACTGTATTATCACAAGTGTTCCAGAAAAAAAAATCTATGGTACCTTAGTTTGTGTTAGCATGCATTTAGTCATTTTCATATGGGAAAATGACTAAATGTGGTATATGGGTGCATATGGGTAGTTGACAATGTTCCATGTACTCACATGGAATGAGATCATACACAGTGCATGCATAATAACTATGTTAGCAAAATGCTGTTTAAACTTGTTTCAGATGGAATACAGCACATCCCACCACATATAAAGCTGCACATGGATCATTCTGGCAATGAGCAATACAAAAAAACAAATGAGTTCTGAGCCTGCGGACATGAACATGAGTTGAGCAGAGTCTCTTAAGAGTCTTTCAAGCACAGACATCTCGTAATTATGGTAATTATGACATAGCATATGTCATGAACGCAACATATGTTAAGTATTTGTGTAAGTATTTATAAATGAATATATATTATAAAAAATAATTATAGCAAAATATAGAAAAACTATTTAGCAAAATATTTGACACTTTAAAGGACATAATATGTAGAACATTTTTATTTTACTTTATTATTTATTATATTTATATCAATATTTACAATTTGAAAGAAATATATATGGTGTTTGTTCATTCAGACAGGATTTCATACTCTCATTCATGAGTTATACTCACAGCATGTTAATTAAACAATTCAAGCAGCGGTCTTGATTTAATAGACTCAAATTCTCTGAGAAGAAAGAGCAAAGGAAAGGAGGGATTCCCTCCGACTGAGTCCAGCAGAAATCCATGTTCTCTCTTATCTAGCAAATAAAAGTGAAGAACGCAAGGAATTCCAACCGCTCACCGACCTCTCGCTCGGATTCACCGTTCTGCCTCTCTCTCCCTAATTCCCACACATTAGCAATGGATAACTCATCACGTTTTCATCTGTAAATAGGTTTCGCTGATATTTAAACGGCAGATTCGGCTTTTGAAGGACTGGTCAAAGGTGCAGCGGGTTTTCTTTCATATTGCCTCCTACTAATGCCCCACACTCAGATTTACAGCTCCTGACACACACAAAACTGAAAAAGGTGAACGTGAGGTCAGCAGAGGGTCGTTTCTGTGCCAACATGCTGACATCAAAGCCCTGAAAGATGTAAAAGTCCATGCATGGCTGAAAACGCACCACATGCTGCAGTCACGTGCATATCATTTCGTTTTACAGGCATAGCTCAGAGAAACTTTACCATATGTTGGCCACAACAGTTTTCCGATAGAAAGCTTTTTATGAATATTACTGACAGCTGTTTTCATTTTTCAATAATTGCTCATTTTTTGTTCATTTATGTTATTGAATATCAAATGGTAAAGCATGACGCTAGCAATAGCAAGGTCATGGGTTTGAGTTAGAGTTGGAAAAACATTTCCAAATGCAGTCAAATACACATTTAATTTAATGCAATTAAATAGACATTTGTGAACCCAACCTGAATATGCTGGAATTAAATATTCCGATATATAACTGTGCGATTTAAGGCAAGACACTACAGGTGAACAGGGTACAATATTTAACTGACAGACTTCACCATACTTTCCCAGCTGACTGATTATAACAAGAATTGCTAATGTTTTCTGAAAAGTCATCTTTAAATACGCACAAGGCATTATCTAATTAAAATTTTAATTAAATGTATGCACTAATTTGCATAAATCAGGTTCATTTTGTTGACATATTAGAGTTTAAGGTTTTTACAGAGGGGATTTTTTATATCTATTTTATTACTCCATAAGTTAGAAAATACTGCCAACAGCCAGAAATTTTCACCCTTTTTGCCATGTTTTCAGCAATAAAATGTTGTGTACAACCAGCCGAATGATATATGAACAAACCCCTCAGTAAAAACCTTCAGAATACAGATAGGAATAAAACTGTAAAATTTGGTGTATGCAAGTGCTGCTGAGGTGGGGAAAAAACTCACAGGCTTAAACAATATGCATTTTTACCATGTTTTTAGGAATAAATGTATAAAATCAGGCAAATGATACATGAACAAATCTTAAACAATATGCATTTTTACCATGTTTTTAGGAATAAATGTATCAAATCAGGCAAATGATACATGAACAAATCCCTCAGTAAAAACCTTCAGAATACAGATAGGAATAAAACTGTACATTTTGGTGCCTGCAAGTGCTCCTGACGTGTAGAAAAAACTCATTGCCTATAAAGATGCACATTTTCACCATATTTTTTAAGAATAAAATGTTGTATAAATCTAGGCAAATAATATATGAACAAACCCTTCAGTAAAAACCTTCAGACTATGGTTAGCAATAAAACTGTAAATTGTGGTGCGTGCAAGTGCTGCTGAAGTGTAGAAAAAACTCACAGCCTTTAAAAATATGCATTTTCACCATGTTTTTAGGAATAACATGTTATATAAAATCAGGCAAATTATATATTAACATATCCTTCAGTAAAAAACTTACTATATAGAATATAGAAAGGAATAAAACTGTAAAGTTTGGTGTATGTAAGTGCTGCTGAATGGAGAAAAACTGTTTAAGAACTTTTATATTTTGAGAAAACGACCTTTAAAGATATGTACTGTAAGTGAAATCTAAAAGACACAAATAGATAAAGTGCAATAAAACAAAAACTTAAAAGTATTTTGAATGTTTTCTTTCCACTATCATGAAAAATCTCAAAATTGAGCAGTGCCTGAAAAACAAAGTTTTTGCCTATAAACCACAAACTTTGAATCCACCAGAAACTCCAGCACTATTAACAACGAGTTTTACTTGTCACATAAATATAAAGTATGATTTTGCACCTGTCATTTGCATTAAATTCAGCATTTCTCCACTTTTTGACATTCTAGCCATTCGTTTTGCCCCGTGGTCAATCCCATAATTCCCTTGAGCCCGCCTTTTGCTCAGCTCCCATAGAGAATCAGTTGAAAATGGTTGGCCATCTCTGTGTTATTCAGCTTAAACTATTTTCTCATCTGTTTCACATGCTAAATCTCTCAATCTTTCATTTAATGCCTTCTCTTCCTTTCTCCATAGCGCTCAGAGGATATTGGCATCTGAGTGAACCCAGATGGACGGAGACTGAATATGAACACTCAATTGACCCCATGAAATAAAAATGTGACTTTTGTGGTTTTTAGTCCATATCTGCTCATATTTATATTGTTATACTCATTTTACACATTTTAAATGTATAATATTTCTACAAGAAAGACTTTTTTTACTGAAAAAATAATTACTTTTCTTTAATTTTTTTACATTATTAACATACACATTTGTTAACCCAGCCTGAATTATCTGGAATTAAATATAGTAATATATCTATGTGATTTAAGCATCAAAGCCACAAGAAAAGCATTAACGGCAAATTTTGAAATCTTATCTTGTCACATAAATGTGAAATATGATTTTTCTCCTCATATTTCTAACAGAAAGACATGAATATGAATTTAGTATTTTATTTTGCAAGAAAATAATGTGTTTTTTATTAATTAATTAATTTATTTATTTATTTACATTTTAGATATAAATGCAAGATTAGATTTGGAAATACTTTATTTTCAAATGCAGTCCATTGAATACACATTTGTATTGTATTGAATACACATTTGAAATAATTCAGCCCTAATTAAATGGAATAAAATATAGTAAAATATATCTGCGTGATTTAACATCGAATCCACTAGAAAAGCACAACTGGCAAAATCTGAAAGTTTAATTTGTCACATAAATGTGATATGTGATTTTTTTGCTTCTTGTACTTTAACAGAAAGACTTGAATATTACTTTAGCATTTAATTTAGTGACAGAATAATGTATTTTCTTGACATTTTTTAAATTATTAATACAGTATGTCAGCAATACTGATCCCAAACGCTCTACAGGCTGAGACCTGCTTCAGAGTTCTCATCTCCTCCCTCTATCACTCTCTCTTTCATTTCTCTGACTGATGAGGTCATACGTTCGTTGGAAAAATAAATTCTAAACAGCCTGCCTGCAGCTGGGTCTTTTCCAATGAGATGGAAAGAGCCATAAAGAATTAATACGCCTGAAACACACACACACACAAGTATGGGCAGGTATTATTACTCCATTTTAATTTGTTTCTCATTCCAAATACTGAATGAGTACTGAACTGAACAGTGTGCGCTTTGTGCTGTCGGATATGCCAACTGTAACACCAAAACCAGATTCTACATTCACGGAAGAAAATGTGAGCAGCACTTGCACTAAATCATTTACCATTTAAAATGAATAACGGTTCACCATTAAAACGTATCTGTTACTAAAACTGCCAAGGCTAGGGATCATTGTTAAGTGCTTGGCTAATGTGATGATTTTATTTTTGATTTAAGATTTAAAAGAGCTTTGGGGTGCCCCAACACTCGATAAGATGGAACTCTTGAGTTCAATAGAGGTGAATCTATGCTGTCTGTTTTGGTTTGGTTTTGTTTGGAGGGTTCTGGGATGTCCTCAATGCTCTTCCAGCTCTAAAGGAAATTAATCTTGGAGGAAGTACAGTAGATGAACTTACATATTCATCAGTGTTTGGGTCTTGGTTCTGGGGCTGTTCAGGCGCAGGAACCTCACAATCGGGGCTGTAGTGCTCACAGTAGTCAAACGCAGCGCGATGGTCCGATAAAATCATCAGCTGCTGGATGTCACCCTGGAAACAAAGAAATCAACTGTTAGAACTTCTGAGGATTGACACATCTTTGTACTTGATACAGGCCATGTAAGAGACAAATAAGACCAGCAGAGAGAGCAAAATTTCTACTCCCTATAAGGCAGGGAGTGGATGCCATATTTAATTTGATGCAAATGAAAATGAGGCTGTGAGGGAAGGAAGAACAGTCCATTCAATGCACCTTTAATAAACAGTTATATCTTATACAGATTACAAGGCTCACATTTACTAAGTAGTGTGATTTACTTTGACTCAACATAAGCTAATATTTAAAAGAGCCAGCTAGAGCTAAGGTATCAAAAAAGAGCTAGATAAAAATAATTTTAACTCCAAACATTTATGTATAATAATGTATAATGTGCATAATAATGTACAATAATTTTTGTAATAATAAAATTACATATTATTATAATTATATATAATGAATAATATAAAATACATTTTATTACAATTTAATACAATTAATTAATATTAATGATAAGGTCATTATATTTTTAAATGTACTAACTTTCTACACA